GGTTCAGCCCATCCGGGTTGGGAAGGGTGATGGAGCCGAGCATCACAGTGGACAGGAAGCACAGAAAGGCCACCCTTGTCTCATCCCTCTGTTGCTGTGATAAAACGCCTCGAGAAAAGGCCACATCAGGGAGAAAGGGATTATTTTAGTGCACACTCCAGGTCACAGTCCATAAAGCAGCCAGTCACATCCCATCTACACTTCTGGAGTCAAGAGAAAGGAGCAGTGAGTGAATGTGCACCTGGTTACTGCACTGCCCAAGTTGTCCCTTTTATACCGTCACTTTCAGGCTGGGTCTTCCCACATCATCAAGACAATCCCTCACAGACGTCCCCACAGGCCAACCTCATCCACAGCATCCATCCCTCACTGATACTGTCTTCTCAGCTGACTCTACATTGTGTCGACTTGACGGTTAAAGCTGATCACCACAGTGCTCAAAGTAAGATACAGTCCAGGGGGCACACTTCCTCTAGCTAGACCCCCCCCCTCCAGTCATGCCAACATATTACAATACCATCAAGGCGCTAATCCATTCACTAAGTTGGAGCGTCCACATCGTAATCCTCTCAGAAATGCCTTCACAGACACTCCTAGAAGTGCACTTTACAAAATTATTAGGTGTGTCTTAATCCAGTCAAATTAAAAATGGAGGTTAAATTTTGTTGGTTTGTTTTCCAAGACAGGGTTTCTCTGTGTCATCCTGGCTGTCCTAGAACTCAGTTGAAGAGGTTAAACTCTCCCACTCTCACAACTGAGTTTATATTTCAGTTCTCTGAGAAGGACAAAACAGGTGTCTCTCCCACAGTGCCCTTGCACTCAGGGATGGGAGAGAACAAACACAGGCCTAAGTCAGGTCAGCCCCACAATGTCTCAAGGACAAATCCAGCAGTTCTCTTCTGAATCACATCCGAACTTGCCCAAGCATATGCAAATATGTCCAAAATTGATAAGACTAAATCTCAGCTAACTAAGAGTATACTAGTGTAACTGCTGTGTGCTTAACCAATTATACATCAGATGACCTAATTGTCCCTGAAACTCCCCTTAGCTGTGTTTAAAAGGAGCTTGCACGCTCCTCTTGGGATTGTCACCATTTTGTGCAAGTGAACAACTCCTGCATGCTGGAATACTAATAGATGTTCTTTGCTTTTACATACTATTTGAGTCTGGGGTCTTCCTTTAGTGTTTCCTTAGACTCTTACACTATGTGTAGGCCATGCTGGCCTTGAACTCAGAAATTCCCCTGCCTCTGGACCCTGAGGCTGGAATTAAAAGTGTGTTCGAACATTACCTGCCTAAAAAAAAAAAAAATTAAGAAAATATTTTAAAAATTTAAAATTTAAAGAGTAAAGAAAGATAAGCAATCAGTCTTTTTCACTGATGTACCCCTAATACCTACAATAGTGTTTGGCATAAATTGGAGAATCAGTTGAACAAATTTGGTATTGCCTTGAATAGTTATTGAATTTCTGTTGTATGCAAATATCAACTAAATAGTAAATTTTCAAAGAACAAGTCAGTAATTTCCAAAAGGTTCACACTTGGTCCAAGGTTGGTGGCTCTGTTTGGGAGGTTTTGGAACTTTAGGACATGGAGCCTTGCTGGAGCAAGTATGTCATTGGGGAGGGCTTTAAGAGTTTATAGTCTCCCCCTACTGTTGTGGGGTATTCACCAGAGAAGACTGCTTAGACATTGGTTTAAGCCAATAGGAAGTCTTTATTAGTTGTCTGGGTGTTCAGGATCCCAGTGTAGCCCCGAGCCTTTTTCAGGGTTAGTTTTTAAGCACAAAAACCATGTTCTGGGTTGACATACTTTAGTTAACAAGAACAGTTAGCCGGAAGTGGAACTGCAGAGGCTAAAAAGCAAAGTTAGGACAGTTAGAGACTTTCCCGGAACTGTGGACTTTGATGGATTAGGCCTTTGTTTCCACTTTGGCAGGGGTGCTGTCCTGTCTACGTGCTGAGCTTTACAGACTGAATGGCACTTCCATCATGGGGTCAGTTGTGCTAAGGTCTAGGAGCCTAGTAAGATCTGGGGTCCTGTTATACTACTTCCAGTTCTCTCTCTCT